CAGAACTCATCGGATGGTCTGGGTCCACCTGGTTTTGGTTATTGCTGCGGTCGTTATTTTAAAACAAAAAAGGAAAGACCAGAAAGGCTGAAAGGAAACCAATCAAATACCTCACCTGAGGCTACCAGGTGTGGTGGCCCTAGGTACAATAGGACAAGGGCTTACAAAAGCAGAGGACACCAGAGTTCCAGCACTGGCCAGCAGTACTTGCACTGCGACTTTCAGTGTCCTCAAGTTTCAAGTTCAGGGACTAGGAGATCTCAATTTTCCTGAACTTGACTGACCACAGATGCCCTTAAAAACCATAAGATGCTGCCCTGGCCGGTTTGGCTCAGCGGTTAGAGCGTCGGCCTGCGGTCCCGAGAGACCCGGGTTCGGTTCCCGCTAAGGGCATGTACCTCGGTTGCAGTTTGTCCCTGGCCCTGGTTGGTCGTGCGGGTGGCAGCCACTCGATGTGTCCCTTTCACATCGATGTTTCCCTCTCTCTTCCTCTCTCCCCCTCCCACTCTACCTGAACAAAAAATAGAAAAATGTCCTCAGGTGAGGATAAAAAAACAAAACCAAAAAAAAAACCATAAGATGCTGATAGAATACTGTAGATAACTGATTAGTTAGGATATGCCTGAATATAAGTAAATGACAGTAGATGGTTTCACAGACCAACTAATCTCTGCAAAAAACTCCATAAAAGTTAGATTCTGATGTATAATATAATTTTATATCAGAAATGGCTGTATTTTGCATTTTCAATAAATATTTTTTTATTAATAAACATTATTTTTAGAGAAGTTTCAGGTTGAGAGAACATTGAGCAGAAAGTACAGTTTCCCATATACCCTGCTCCCCTCCTCAGTTTCCCCATAATTACCTTGCATTTAGTGTTATAGTATTTGTAAAAGAAATGTGTGGTAATGTGTTTAAAAGAAAAAATATTATTCACATTTATATTTCCCCCACACATGTGAAACTGATACTGCTCAGAAGACAGTTGGAGAAAAATCTGAGGTAGAGTCCCTTTAAGGTCCCCGTTTAGCAACTCTGAAAAAGAGTGAGGTTTTCCCCGCGGAGGGCTTTCCTTTGAGACTAGCTATAGGAAAGGGAGAAAGCTGCAAAAACAGAACTTATGAAACAGCTTATTAAATCACCAATAGCATGTCATTTGTCTCAAAGCCTTTTCTTTCCCTTTTCAGCCAAACAATAACCCTCTGAAACACAAGGAAGCTCAAGCACAAGGCACGCGGGCCCATAGTCCTGATTCCGGCCGCAGGGTCTGCCCGCCAGCCGCACAGCTGGCCGGGGAGGAAGCACAGGTGCTCCTGGCTTATTTACTCCTAGACTGAAACCAGGCGTTCTGCCCCAAAGCTCAAAGGGGTAGCTTCGGGATCAAAGGTAGGAAGTGCTGTTTTAGAGAATTGGGAGGCCACCCTGATAAACTCGATTCCCTCCACGAAGGAACTGATTGAAAATGAGATGTGTTCAAGAACAATTTGAATAAATTCATGAAAATCTGTAAAAGGTGAAGGAAAATCCCCAGTCTTCCAACACGCTGTCATGGACACGCCTGCCCTTCAGGGCCTGAGTCAAAGAGAAGTTGCTGGAAACTCTCAGACTAGCCTGTATCCAGTGTGGAGTCCATAAGTCTCTTTTTATTAAAGCAATTTAGATGTTTTGGGAAAAGAACTGAAAAAAATTCAAAAATTGCAGCACTACAACACCTGATTTTCTCTTTATGTGTAGTTTTTATATCACATAACTCGTATCATAGTGCATATACACATTTGTTTTCTATTTCTTTGGGGTAATGTAATTTGTGATCAATTTTGTTATTCTATATTATTACATTATCAATCATCAGAATGGCTACACAATATTGCATTATATAGTACTATTCCCCTTTATTGGGACATATGTTATTTTAAGCTTTTAGGCAGTCAAAATAATGTTTTGTACATATCCTTTCCTTGAATAGGAATTTCAATTTTTATTTCACTGGGCTAAATATTCAGAAATGGAATTACTACTCCAAGGAATAACCCAGTTTTAACCTTTTATTCTGAAGTCATTTCAGACTTACAGACGAGTTCCAGGAATAGTACAAAGCACTCCCTTAGGGCCCGGTGAACGATTCTTAAGAAAAGCCACCATGGCCCTGGCCAGTTTGGCTCAGCGGTTGGAGCGTCCGCCTGCGGCACAGAGACTGGGTTCGGTTTCCGCTACGGGCACGTACCTCGGTTGCAGTTTGTCCCCGCCCCTGGTTGGTCGTGCGGGTGGCAGCCACTCGATGTGTCCCTTTCACATTGATGTTTCTCTCTCTCTCTCTACCTCTCTCTCCCTCCCGCTCTATCTGAACAAAAACTGGAAAAATGTCCACGGGTGAGGATAAAAAATGAAAAAGAAAAGCCACCATATTTGGGGGCATTTCCCAGGCATTCGGCCTGAAACACACAAGGAATGATGTTTCTTGGTGTTTGTATAGAATTCAGGTTACTGGTACAACTTGGAATCTCTAGTCTAGATGGCCGAGACAGTATATGTCATAATAACACAATTTCAAATCCACTGTGCTATTTACCCCAGCCTCTGGAAAAACAGATGGCTACCAAAATTAAACCTTCTGAGACTACACAAATTTTCTGTCTTCTGGTCCCAAATTGCTTTGTCACAGCCTCTTGTCCGTCTCTCTTTGCTTGAGTTTCCACAGACATCACATCATTTCTTACTTAGCTGATGGGATCTCACTGTGGTCTATGTTCTGCCCCATTTCTGTGCTCACTTGGGTGATAAGGTGCCCCAGATGGTGACTCATGCATTCTGCCCATCCTAGCAAGAGAGGGGCCCCACCTCAGAAACAGTGCCAGGCTGGGAAAGCTCTGTAAGAATACTTTCCTCCAGTTTCCCTGTGCCCACTTTGTCTCTGTGTTATCTGGGCCTGGGTTTATTTCTCTTCCTTGAAAGCAAATGACTTTGGTACACTTTTCCCAGGATGTGATTTCACCAAGATGTATTTTCGTTTTTTCCCCCTACAGCAATCCCTTGACTAAAATCAAGGCTCCCATTGTGTTCCTATCAACCTCCCTATACCCACCTCCTCCTTCTCAGGCTGACCCAGAAACCAGAGTCTGTGAAAGGAAAACAATCTCATATTTGGCAGGAACGCAGAGGCCCCAGTGCATGTAGGACCAGGGTTTAACTGGTGTGAGTCATTTGGGAATATTTCAGCAAAGCTTGGGGGCACCTCTTGGTGACCTGAAAACCCTTTCCTCTCAATCTCCTGCTCTAGGTCCCCCCTCTCTTTCTCAAGACCCCAGGTTAACTGATCATATTTGCATTTTAAATTGGGGCTAAAAAACTAATTTGGAAAGGTGGAATTGTAGGTCACCCGACAGTGGTAGGGAGGATTCTCCCAGCCCCTCTCGTTGATCCCATCCAGCACCCCCATCCCCCAATAGTCACTGCCAGGCTTTAGGAGCCAATACCCAGACTACAGTCTGTATGTGACCTAAGAATTCAAGTGTGATTGTTCAGGAGCAAATCATCTTCTCCAGGAGTTCAAGTTAAAGTCTCATTACCACCTCCAAGATGCCAGAAAAGCCCCTGCCCCTCCTCATGGCATACCATGTCACAGGAAAATAGGCACGTCTCCATGGGACAGGGCCACTCTCTGCGGCAATTTATCTGATGTCCTATCTCCAATTCTCTGTAGCTAACTGGTCCCTTATTTCCCTTCTTCCAATAATGGCCATTGGCAGAGCTACGTCTTGATTAAAAAAAAATATGGAAAAACAGCTGCCTTATTTTTGAACCTCAAAATCAGCTCTCATTGCTTGACAAATATGAGCAATTTAGGATCAGAATATACCACTCCTAGACTAGCTGCTCATCCCACAATTTCCTCTGCCATCCACCTGTCCCTTCTCCTGGCATCCTTTCTCTTACTTCTATCTCACTTTCAAATGCCTTGTCTCAGCTAGACATCAACCAATAACAACACATGCCATTTACTGAGCCCTATGATGAGCCAGGGAGGGACCTTGTGCACATTGTTCCTAACTCACACGTGACCTGCAGATGTGCAAGCTCAGCATCACTGCAAAACTTGACTGAGCTCACATCCCTCGTTACTGGTAGAGCTGATTCAAGGCCAAACCTTTCCCCTACGCTGCGCTGCTTTTATCAGTCATCTGTTAACAAGTCAAACAGGTTGTTTCCAAAAACATTTACATGTAAAAGTCAAACCCGAGCACACTAAAAAGCTTCCATCCGTTTACGGGGTTGATGGTAGTGACAGAACGTCGGCTCAGCACCCCCACCCCGGTTATTCTGCTCAGTTAGTGCTGGGGCTGAAAAGACCTCAGTGACCACTGATTCTCTTTGCAGAGAAGGGAATGATCTTCCCAGTGATTGCAGGACTGGGAGTAGCAGGGCAGGTGCCTAGTGAAGCAGATTCCAGGCTGAGGGAGGCACTTTCCAGTGGAGGTGCGAAGGGGAGCCCTGCCTACCCTTAACTGCCCCCACCTGTCCCCCAAACGCTCCAACCCTGGCATTTCCTCTGCCTGGAGGGCAGCTTGTCCACCTGGCCAGTCCTTCAGACCTGTTGTGTCCAGAGGGGCAGAGTTATTACTGGAAATTCCAGAAGAACCCCTCAGTCTCCTCAGTGAGCATTTCTTTAGAATTGTCAAGATCTCTTTTTGTGATAAGGGCTTAGAGCCAGCTGATCCCGAGGATCTCTTTTACGTCACGGAGACTCGAATTCTAAAAAAGATGACTCCCAAATCCCTGCCCAACTCCCAAATTTTATTTGATGACATCAGGATTGTGAATAATCAGGCTGGCCCAAAGCCAGGACAGGCTGTGCGGCTTCCATCCTGAACTTCCTCCCCCTCTTTATACACACCGGCCCGCCCCGTTTGGCTCCCTCAGGGCCCTGTCCACTAGGCATCCTCCTGCTGCAGAGAAGCCCGCCCACCCAGGGCCACCGACCCCACCTCCTGCCTTGAAATTTAAAGGAGGCCGGAGCCGTGCACAGAGATTGGCGCTGAGGTCCTGCTGGAGCCCCGAGCTTGCGAGAAAGTCTTTCCAGGAGGGAAGGAAGCCGAGGAGTGGTGGTAGGTTGAATTCTTTGCCTGCTCCTCTTCTCTCTCTTAAAAGTCTTTCTGGCAAACTAAGCCAATAAAGGAGTGTCTAAATGAGGGACTGACTGACTTTGCACTCCAGGCAAAGAGGATTAGCTACAATCCACACCCAAAGGAGACTTCTTATTGAATCTGCATTTAATTGGGATAGGCTGGCGGGTTTTGGACAGGCCAGTTGGGCAGGCGAGGAGGGAGCGCAGGAGGGCTTCTTTCTTGAATAAGAAATCTCTGCTTGCGGAGTAAAGGGGAAAGTGAAAAGAATTATACAGAAATGCTCTGAATAGACAACAGGAGCACCTCATGACTAACAGGCAAGAAATGTGAAATCAGTGCCAGTGGGACACTTGGGGGTGGGGTGGGGGTGTCTGACTCAGCAGCCTCCCTCAGTGAGCTCACAGAGAAACTGAGGCTGGGATGGGGCAGAGAGTGGCATTTCCAGAGCATGGTTATGTGGGAATTGCTGGGAAAGAGAAGGAGGGAGCGTTCAGAGAAAGGCCTCTGAGCTCCCCTTCCCTCACCATCCCCACTGGACAGCTTTGTCTTCTGGCTTTGTGCCAATGTGCAGATGCGAGGTCCTCTTTAAGGAGTTTTCAATTACAGAGGGAAAAAAAATAACATCAATGTCCTTTATTCCTAAAGCACTCTGCAGAAAGCATATCAAGTCTCTCTAGATTTTCACTGTTATTATCTTTATTTTCTTAACCTCACAGTTAAGAGGGAGGGAGGGACTGAGGGAAGGAGGGATGGAGAAAAACATGCTCCCAGGTAACTCATGACAATCTCAAGCGCAAAGCAATGTGGTAAGGATGATTTATTTGGTGACCAAGTTGGAATAATGACGGTAGTCTTCTGCAGCCAACTGATGTCAGAAAAAAATTACGTGTGTGTGGACATTTACAGTCCTATGAAGAAATTCTGCAAATACGGCTATTAAGTGGATTTCCCTCAAAAGGTCTTCCTAGCCATTTTTGTCTGTAGGCAGGAAGACTCATGCTGGGATCTGGACATTGACTTGTCCAGAATCAATATATGACGATCAGAGTGAAATACTGAGTGAGTGCTTCCGGTAACAGCAGAGTCAGACTCAGGGCACCAGCAGGGATGCGGTAAATACTGAAACAAAAAGAGCTCCATCCTATCCATCAATTTATTCTACCTAAATGTTCTGAGACACCAGCTTCAAATCTCTAGCTATCCTCTGTCTAAATGACTTCGTTTCTGTCCAGACTCTCCTAGATCATCTCAGTTGACTTTGTGAAGCCTCGTATCAGATTCTCCCAATGTCTGTGCTATTCTCAGTTGCTTCATCACAGGCTGGGACCGTTCATGCCACCAGGTTGTAGCTGAGGAACAGCAGTGACGCTATCCTTAGTTTGTGCTCATTGACGTAGGACTTGAGGACTGCTATTTCCTCAGGGCCTAACCCGCTGATGAGCAGAGCTGATGATCAGTGTATTTCAAACCATTATAACAGGCAGCACAGCCACAACTTTGGTGGTGGGACTTGAAACTACCAGGACTGTCTAAGGCTTTTGTAAATGAGAGGTGGGGGCCACAAAGCAACTGGAGAAACTTACTGTCCAGGTGAGGCCTGTTCCTAATCTGCAACAGGAGTTTTTCTGGTCATGGAATTTTATAGCAACTCCAGGGGCCCTTTGGCTAGGATCATTGTTTAGAAGGAGCAGTGCTAGCTTCAGGACTGCCAAAGCTTCCAGGTGCATGTAGATTATTTTTGGTCAGACGGCTGCGGAGGCAACAGTCATTCGAAGCAATGGACTTAGCTCCAGTCAAATTCAGATTCCATATACAGCTCTGAGAATGCGAGTATCTGTTGCAAGGAAAACTTTGGGTGTTGAGTTGAAATGTTCGGTTTCACTCGGTTCTTTGCCCTTTGGGCATCTGCAGTATCAGAATAAAATGTCTACTTTCTGTGTTTTTTCAGTTCTGCTCTGATAAGAGGGCTCGTATGAAGGATGAGTGAGCAGAATACTCTGTTCCTTCTTTGGGCCATTTGCTTTGCATGGAGAAAAATTCTGTTTCTGGTTTCAGGTCGTAAACCTGATCCTAGTCAACCAACTCACAAAATTATGTGGTGGGTATCAAATCAAATCAGATAAAAAAAAGTGAGGATGATTTAGACTCAGAGAAAGTTAGAGCTAGAAAGAAACTTAGGGATCATCCACCCTGGTTGACCAACCCCAGGAGACCAACCCCAGCCACATGGTCTCCTGACTTTGGCTTAGTTGTCTACTTACATAAAAAGACAGCACGTTTTCTTAGTGATATTTTGTGCATTCATGTTTTACTCTCCTGCCTGGGAAATAGACTTCTGTAGAAGATGGTAATGAAACAGATAAATCTCTTGATCACCTGAAAATAAAGAACTATGACAGAAAGCAAAATGAACCAAGTACTGGGCACACAACAGGCATTTCATAAACATTTTTTGAAGGGATAACTCGGGCAAGTTCTGGTACTGACCATGATTTCCCAAAGAATGCTAACCAACCGTCCTTCCTATAGAACTAATACAATTGCAGCTGACCAGCACCTTCTATGCCAATGGCCATGATCCGGAAAGTAACTCTTGGCCAACAGGCCCCGGTGTACAGGATGGCTATGTAATGCTCCAGACCTGGACACCAGTGACTTGAAGAGGTCTGTTTGGGAAATGGCCTACAAGACCTTATTCTACCTGGAGCCTCTGAGCACTTCAAGGTCAGGTTGAACCCGGATACTGGGAGAACTTTGTATTAAGAGGCTTTTCTGTTTATTATATAGTCACCAATATTCCATTAACTTGTACCTAGTCATTAGGGAATCCAAACTGAACTCCTTCCCCAAAGGCTCCAATATCCTCAGACCTCTTGGGCTTTCCAAACCACCCTTCCTCCTAGGGACACCCTGGAAAGGAGATCCTGGGGTGTGCGAATTATACTCCTTAGCCCAAAGAAAGGCGTTTGTGCCAAAAAGAAAGAGGCTCTGATTGCTTGTGGCTATTATCCTGGGCCCCAGACAATGGGCCCATCTTGGGGTTATGTTCGGTCAGAAACACCCTACTGCATTGCCTGGTTCACTCCTACTTTTGTTCAATAAACAGCTTATATAGTATCCATTCCAGAAAGCCTACCCTGACCAGCCCCTCCCCCACCTCAACAAAAGTGAGCTAGATCCCCCTCCTCCACATTCCAGTAGACCCCTTCTTCTTCTGCATTCCCACCTTCCATCGCCCCCACACCTGCCCTGTATATCTCAGCTCTGACCACACTCTACTATGACTGTCTAGTTACTTGTCTGTCCCCTTCCCAAGCTATGAGTTTTTGAGGATAGAGCATATGTGTCTTTATACCATGAGCCAGTGCTTAATGCATGCTTGGTGCTCAATAGACGTTTGACGATGAATACAGAGAGTGAGTAAGTCATCACCTATGGATTCAAGAGAGGGAATTAGATTTGAGGTCAAGGTGGATGAAATGGGGACCTGATAGACACTGGGAGGGTAGCACCCAAGGGTGTTCTCCAGCCCCTTTGTTAGACATCTTTGCAAAAGCAGTTTGATGTGAGCTGAGTTTTTTAAAGTTAGGGGACAAGGGCTGGTTGGGGAAGCTAAACCCAGTAGCCTACTATGAATAGTCTAAAAGAGAAAAGACTACCAGTCAACTTCTCTGCTGGCTATTCACATTGTGTCATGTTCCCCAAAAATAGAAACTTGCTTTATTTTGCCTCATTGTAGCAAGGGCCAGTGTCTGCCACTTGGGCTACTAAGAGAAAGGGGAAGCTCTTTTGTTTTGTTTTTCTGGGAAGCTCCAGTTGCCTTATTTTCCTCCCATAATATTTCTGGTTGTCAAACAGTCCTGTTTTGCATCAGGTGGGCCTTATCAGTAGCAAGAGCCTAATCTTTCAGCTGTCTTAGCCACTAATCCCCACTTCTCACAGCAGTTTAGGCATGTGTGGTATAAATAGACCTGGGAAAAGCAAATAAAAACATAGATTAAAGACAGGATAAAAAGCACCACCTGTATCTGGGAAATAATAGCTCCTGCTAATACTGATCTGTGCACATAAAGGGCATGATTCTATCCATTGTAAAGAATCTGGCTACAGGTCATCACAAGATGTCCAAATGATCTAGGAAACAGTATTCAGTAATGACACTTCAGTTTGATCAGGACCCCATAGAGCTTGGCATCCCTTCTGCCTTGGCAGCTTTTAGTTACTGTTGCGGGGAGAAGCTGCAAACTTTGGTGTTCCCGTTTCTGAAGGGCGCCCACAACAGTAAGTACAGTTAACCCTACTGTGCACCAGACATTAGGAGGCCCTTTACCTCTTCTTCTATAGTGCCGTAACAGTGCAGCAAGGTGGAAATGACTAGCCCAGGAGAAAAACCAGGAAACCCCATGCAGCCTGAAAGTGGTAAGTGAAGTCTGAAGTTAAGCCTCTAGAGTCTAGCTAGAGTCTAGAGCAGTGGTTCTCAACCTGTGGGTCGCGACCCCTTTGGGGGTCGAATGACCCTTTCACAGGGGTCGCCTAAGACATAACAGTAGCAAAATTACAGTTATGAAGTAGCAACAAAAATAATTTTATGGTCGGGGGTCACCACAAGATGAGCAACTCTATTAAAGGGTCGTGGCATTAGGAAGGTTGAGAACCACTGGCTAAAGGCTGTGCTCCTCGCATTAGGACATGCTGTTCCTCTCAACTAGCATCTTTGAACATTAAAAACATTACAATCCAACATCAGGACACAGCAAGGAGTAGTGAAAAGCGTGTCGGGTTTTTGATATTAGAGCTGGGTACCCTGGGTTTGCGTCCTGATATCACCTCTAGCAAGGTGTGTCACCGTGGGGCCAAGTCCCTTATACTTTTTTGAAGTTCAACTCTCTTATCCAAAGACACAAGATAATAGTGTCTTAAATGATTCAATGGATGTAAAAGGGTTTTGTAAACTCTCTGACAGGTAGTGGGTACTCAAA